AAAATCCTTCGATTCAAGAGAAAATTTCAAATCTTCAAAAACAAATGGAAAGAGAGATTTGCTCTACTATTCCAAATGCTTTTTGGGATCGTAAGAAACATGTGGTATCTCTTCCATACAATTTTGATTTTCATGAATTAAATATTCTTACAAAATCCCGTCCTATTCAAATGAACAAAGAATTATTAGACTTTTGTATCAAGGAAATCGATGATTTACTTAACAAAGGTTTAATTTGTCTGAGCAAGTCTCATTGGAGTTGCTTAGCATTTTATGTCAATAATTCGCTTGAAATTGAACGATGTACACCACGTCTTGTTATCAATTATAAGTCTCTCAACACTGCTCTTCAATGGATTCGACATCCACTTCCTCAAAATAAAGATCTTTTGAATAAATTATTCAAAGCTGTTATCTTCTAAAAATTTGATATGAAGTCAAGTTTTTGGCAGATTCAAATTAAAGAAGAAGATAAGTATAAAACTGCATTCAATGTTTCTTTCAGTCAATACAAATGGAATGTTATGCCGTTTGATATAAAAAATGCTCCTTCTGAATTTTAAAAAATTATGAATAATATTTTCAATCCATTTTCAAATTTTATCATGTTTACATTGATGATGTTTTCATATTTTCTGAAAGTATAAAACAATATTTCAAACATATCAATACATTCATGCATGTTATTAAGAAAAATGATTTCGTAGTTTCTGCTAAAAAAATTATTTTATGTCGAATAAAGATAAGATTTTTAAGTCATATTATTCAAAATGGTTCAATTATTCCAATTCGGAGGAGTCTAGATTTTATTGAGAAATTTCCTGATGAAACTTTAGACAAATATTCTTTTCAAAGATTCCTTGGTTGCGTTAATTATGTCGGTGACTTTATCAAAGAGATAAGGTTGATGTATGCCCCTCTTTTCAAAAGATTATAAAAGAACCCAAACTTATGGAGTCACGAGTGCACATTAGCTGTCCAAAAAATCAACAAAGCTGTCAAAAATATTCCATGCTTATCAATTCTTGTCAACAATTGTTGCTCAAAAGAATTTTTCAATTTTCCGAAGCTTCATGTATTTCAAAACAAAAATTTTCTTTATGACAATATATTTTGTCTTATATTTATCTCAAAATGCTATTTATTCGAAGAAAATCAAACTATTTTGTACAACTTATCTCCTGAAAAGAATATTATGGAAAGAGAGAAGAATACAAAAAATTATTCAGATATTATTTCAGGATCTTTTTTAAAATTCTTTGAAGACGAAATTCTATCAAGAAACAGACATTTCTCAATCAAAGAATCAAATTTTTTGAACAAAGGTAAATTTTTTCAATCAGATTCCTATCTAGGAACTGAACCAAAATTCTATGAGTTTAAAACTCATACAAGACTTTTCAAATTTTAAAAGGATAATCTTGATAATATTCTTACTACTTACTACCAAAGAAGTAGTAAGGATACTATAAGATGTCTCAAAAATATTACTGAAATTTTTGACAGTGGTAACAAAATTATAAAAAAATTTCAAAAAAATTCTCAAAAAGATGAAAGACTTATTTGTCAAAATTCTTCAAAAGAATTATTTTTCAAAAATCTATTCTTACTTAAAAAGAATAGAAGAAATCTTATGAAAAAAGTATTACAACTTTTTGATGATATTTATTAAAATATTATCAATAGAGACCCTATTTGTGCTTAGACATTTAAACAAATTATTTTTAGAATATTTGATAACTTTTATTTCAATGGTTTTGCAACCTGTGAAAGTTATCACAAACTTCATTTTACCCTCAAAGGTATTTCGATTATTAATGCCATTAATGAAGAAATTCGTCAAATGATCGAATGGAGATTTATTTCCTCAATATATATTGATTCAAAAACAGATATTTCTCTTTTTAATAGCTCTCTCGAAAGAGTTATTAATCATCTCTTTGAATTCAAAGTCAAAACTCTCAAAATTGAATTCTCAACCATTTTTCCTGAATGGATTGTCGAAGAAGTCAAGTTCAATGATACTCTTTTTACTGAAAAGCATTTTTCAACCAAATAAATTATTACTATTTGGAGTACTTTGTCAAATAATCTTTCAATGCCAGATTCAAATATCCCTTAAAAAGTTTACTCTCCTGATGACAAATAAATCATATTCAAAACTCATGTAAGAGCAATTCTCACAAAAATTATATCAAAATCCGTTCTTGCTGCAAAGAAAAAGTTTGGAACAAATATTGACAATTCAATATTACAATTAATGTTTCATGATGAACATTATGCCATTTTTACTGATGAAGAGAAATGTACTCAAACTCAAGTTCATTTGATTAAAAAAATATTTGATGATGAAATTTCAATGTCTCAAGATTGTTTTGATGATATTTATCAACGAAATGAAGAACCTTTTCAAGGACCCGGTCTCAATTATGCTGATGAAGAATTTTTCAATCTTGATAATTTGCTTGAGATTTAGTTTACGACAAAATCTCAATTATGTTGATGAAGAATTATTTAATCTTGATAATTTGCTTGAGATTTAGTTTACGACAAAATCAAAGCAGATATCAAAAGATAAAATCATTTTTATGGTGCTATCTTTCAAAAGTGATGAACAAATTCAAAAGGTGAATGATCAATCAAATAGTCAAAAGTTTTGACTAAAGTTGATGTCAATTTTTCAAAGTGGAAAACAGAGAAAATTTTTTTTAAGACTTTTCTACTGGTGGATTAACTTTTGCAAATGGACAGTGCAAAAGTTTCAAAAGGTACAATTATTCAAGATTCCTTCTCCAAATTAAAGAAATTTTCAAGTTCGGAACTTAAGATTTCAAGTATAAAAGAAGATCAAGTATTCAAGATCTTCTCAGAGTAAATTTAGCGGAAGATAAATCATTCTCAAGATAGTTTGAGATATCTTTGTATTCTTTTATTATCTTTATTTTTCGACCCAGTTCCCGGACACTGACTTTGGAACTTTTGCCCCTCCCTTGGAAACGAGAAGGATAAGGGACTTGGAATGGAGTACGGGGAAGCCCTTTACTATAGCTTACCCCCTTGGGGGCTAGGGGGTCTTTATCTTTCAATATTGTAATTCAAAGTTCATTTCAATATTTGTATTTCAATTTTCATATATCAATAAAATTTTCTTCCTTTCAAACATTTGTTTAATTTTCACTTCTACTTTTCCCCACCTAGGCCCACACACACACAGAGAGAAATGACCTCCTAAGCATCAGTGCTTAGCTTATGTTAAGCACCAGTAACATGACACACCATTTAATTAGTGAATAAATTAATGGTAGGTCTCATGTATATAATGATTCACCAATTAAATGGCGTGTCATGTCACGGTACTTAAAATTAAAAAAATATCGGTACTCAGAAGATCATTCCTCTATATATATGTGTGCGCGTACCATTTTACCTTAAAAGAGATAATTAGCCAGATACTGTAGGTGGCGGAGTGTTCACACGTTCATTACTGTAGTAAAACTGGTTCCACACCGTTCATTCAAAATATCTTATTAGTGCTCGTTATTTAGCCACTTATTAAACGGATGGAAAGATCAAGAGTAATTTCATTCCTTCATCTTCGACTAAAAAAGCCTAGTAGCAGTGACTCCCCTTCAAGTTGTGGCCCAACCAGTTCAATGAGCAGCTCCATCAGAGCCAAAGATTGCTGCCAGTTGAATCATGATTGGAACTGGTTCTCTACTGTTCACAAGGTGGTTTCCAGATGATCATGAGGTAAAATATATATATATATATATATATATATATATATATATATATATATATATATATATATATATTCTCTCTATCTACATTTCCATTTACTTTTACCTATCTTCCATTCGAAGAAAGAAACCCCACCAGTCAACAACATTTTCCCGTCTCCCACAGAAATCAAGTCTCCCCCTTTCCCTTTCTATTGAAGAGCAGGCCCTTTTACAAGACACTTCATTTGTTTTCCTTCATATTAATACTGGTCTTTGTTTAAATGCTTTTAGGGACAATTTTAATCAAATAGCAGAATGATACATGACTACTACACAATGAAGATGTATGTATTTACATGTCCATAGAGTGGCTGGTATATTTTTATAACGTCAAAGGTAAACATTGTTATTCTGGATAGTTCTTCGGAGCCATTTATTTTGGAATCTCATCCTCAGGTTGAGAAAAATCCTTCAGAGCCATTAATTTTTTGAATTTCATCAAGGTGTGAGAATTGTGAATTTTTTATTTTAGTTATTTATGGTTTTTTCCCCCTTACTCTGATGTTTGGCGAGATGCTTTTATCTTAGTGTGCAAATGAAGAGAAATTCAAAGAGACAGTACATGGGTAAGATTTCAATTTCCAAATTTCTTTCGGATTTCATTAAAATTTCTGGTCGTTGACAAATTGAGGAAAGAGATTAAAAAAAAAAAAACTCCAAGCTATTTGGAGGCAGTGACGAATCCAAGATTTTGAGTCAGCACGGGTTATCATTGATTGTCTATCGTCAGCCGCAATAAAGTATTTAAAGCTCTTTTGATGTCATTTTTTAAGCAAAAAATGCATTTTGAAATAGTGATTTCATGGAGAATGTGAGGTTAAAAATAAGGAAAAAATTTTGAATTTAGATGTAATATTATTGTATTGAAGAATGTATGGTTAAAAAAAAATAAATAAAAATGTATTTTGAAAAAATGAAAATAAAACAAGGCCTAAAATTTAAATATAACAATTATTTTGTTATAAGAATAAATTTTATATTCACCAAATGACAATGTTGTCAAGTTTCGTATTATTTAAAGGAAGAGCATGATTTTGAATCTTAATAATTTTATTAAACCCAATAAATGTAATATATATTATTTTGTTGAATTAAACTTCAAAAGCCAAGAATGCCAGAGTGGTCAGGCATTCAATGATTACAATAGGAGTCCACAATTTGAATCTCATCCAAGTCTTTCCTATAGCATTAATTTTGATAGAAATTGTAAAATTAAAAAATTTGCACATTTAATTGATTGTGAAGAGATTCGAAACCGAGACTTGCAAAACATAAGTATAAGTCCTAACCATTTCGACCAGAAGGGAAATTTGAAAGAAGAAAGAATTATCAGTAATATAAGCTAAAACTTTAATCTATTGTCAATAAAAGAAAAATGCTTCCAGTGTAGGGCTCGCCACTACCTACCACTGTTTGGAGGTAAGATATCGTTGAGTCGTCAATCTAGCAATTTAAAAAGGTCAAATTTTATGAACTTGACCAGATGAATATCCGAGGGAAATCTCATCCATTTGAGTACAATCCGTCCGTTCGAGTTGGCCACAAGGCAACAACCTTTAATGCAACTCAACTAGTTCAAATTCACTGCATAACTAGTTCAGAGCCACAAGGCAATATTTTATATTGAAATGCCAATTTGATCGTTCAAAATTATCCTTTGATCCAACAAACCTACAAATAAAATCTTATTGTCAACAAATTTTAAGTCTGTTATATAAAACCCTTTAACATTCAAATTCCGCATCAAACATGGGCCATAACAGTTTCCACTACTTCTCTATTCTAAGTTCAAAGGAAAATAAATAAAATAAAATAACATGAAAAGCATGCCCAAAAGCTGTCACGAATGAGACAAAAGATTTGCTTTTATACAACAGAAATAGCCTTTAAGTTGACAGAGTAAAAAAATAAAAAAAAAACCTATCCAAAGGGTGTAAGGATTTTTTAATTAATATATGGACTTGTATGTGTGAATAATTGTGTGTTAAATTACAGGCTATTGAATTCGGTTAAGCCCAATTAAAGTGATCTAATAAGGCTTCATTTTTGGGCTTTAATGTATCCAATTAAAGTATGGGTTTACATATGTGTAGAGATCGGGCCCAAGTCCTAATTCTACGATGGGTCGAATTAGGTCAAAGAGCGTCTCTATATAAATAGGTTATGGTCTCCAGATCACACGCATGTATTATTCATTCTCTACTGCATCCCATCATAGAGAGGAAAAGGAAATTGCGTGTAGATTTGTAAGACTATACCGCGAAATCCATATTGCATTAACCATGTCTGATTCAGGTATGCTTCCACTTTAATTCTTGTATTTCTTGATGATTTAGCATTAAATTGTCCAACAAGTGGTATCAGAGCCTCTTCATGTTGAATCATTGAGAATCGAATAATTTAATTTGGTTCTTGCAATATTTTATAAAGCTTTCAGATTTGATAGTTTAGGATTTATATTTTTTTGAATTTGAAAATGCGGTATAATTTTTGTTATTTTCGTAATTCGGATTAATGGTTGAGAAAATTCAGATTTGGAATTTTATGAATTTTGAAATCTGATTAAGATTCAGTTTAAAAAAAAAAAAAAAAAGGCGGCAGCGAAGCAGCTGCTGCAAATGGGGCTGCATATGGTGCCAACGCCATTGGTTCAGGCGACACCGCCAAGAAGAAGAAATTTTCCCTAGGGTTTTTTTAATTTTCGAATGTTTTGGGGGCAGGGATTTCCTCTGTAAATTAGATTATTTGAGGTCCTTAGTTGCAATTAGGGTTAGGGTTATAAAATTAAGATTTCAGTCACTAACCTTTAAGTTATATTAAATTTTGGGCCTTTAAGTTTCGGATTTAATAATTCAGTCCCTAAAGTTTTAAAATTAATTAATTCGGGCCATTAAAATTCTGAATTTATAATTAAAGCCCTCAAACTTTAATTACTAGTTCAAATTGGCCCCCTAAGTTCATAATTAATTCAAATTGACCCCTAAAGTTTCAAATTTTCAAAATTTGATCCCTAAAGTTTTGAATTGGTCAATTTTCGCCTCTAAAGTTTTAAAATTTGTTCTAATTGATCCTTTAAAGTATTGAATTAATTAATTATGGTCCATAAAGTTTTAAGTTTATTAATTTCAACCCCTAAAGTTTGGAATTAATTAATTTTGCCCCCTTAAAGTTTTGAATTATTAATCCTAAGGCCCATAAAATTTAAAACTAATCAAAAGATGCGAAACTGGCGATTCTCTTTTTCAAATTTTGGTACTAAAGACTCTTTAAGATATATAATATTCGAAAGTTGGTTAATTGAAGCAACATGCTGCCAAAGCAACATCTCTTGTGAAAATTGACTAACTTAGAATGTTAAAAAGTGTTTGTGCATGTGTTATTCATGGGAATATTGGTCGGCCCAAAGGAAGGTCAATATTTAGCTAGCTACACGTGCACCTATGGTGATAAACGTGTGACGATTATTTGGTTTAATGTGTGATCAATAAATCGGTCCAAAGAAAGGTTTATTGATTGACACGGTGTTTTATCGTCAATATTTGATCGCTACGCCAAGAGTCCCACTTACAAGTCAATATCTCTGTTCAAAGACTAGATATTGATGTTGTGCTTGGTATCTTGTGATGGGCCCTACCATTATTTGAGATTATTATTATTTGCATATTAAAGATATTCAAAGTGAGCTATTCATAATAATCGTTAAGATATTCACGTGAGCTATTCGTAATAATGGTTCTCTAATTTAGTTTCAGGTTCTGTTGCTAATATCTCTACTAGCATCAATTCAATTCCAATGTTAAATGACACAAACTTCAAGGTGTGGCAAGAGAACATGATGAATGTTCTCGGAGTCATGGACCTAGACCTTGCTTTACGAGTCGATCAACCTGCTGCACTTACTGATAAGAGTACCCTTGATGACAAGAGGGAGATGGAAAAGTGGGAACGATCGAACCGCATAAGCTTAATGGTCATGAAGCGTACTATTCCAGAAGCATTCCGGGACACTATATTCGATAAGGTGACTACGGCTAAGGGTTTCTTTGAGAACCTTGAGAAGAGGTTTGCCAAGAATGAAAAGGCTGAAACAAGTACACTTTTGGCAAATCTTGTCTCAATGAGGTATAAAGGGAAAGGAAACATTCGGGAGTACATTATGGAAATGTCTCACATTGCTTCAAAACTAAAGGCACTCAAGTT